AATTAGACCAGTGGTCCATCTAGTCCAGCAGGCTGTCTGATACCGTGGCCAACCAGTTCCTCTGGAGGGCCAACAACAGGGCATGGAGGCCGAGGCCTTCCTAAGAACATAAGAAGAGCCCTGCTGGATCAGACCAGTGAGGGTCCAATCCTGTCTCACACAGTGACACACCAGTTCCTCTGGAGGGCCAACAACAGGGCATGGAGGCCGAGGCCTTCCTAAGAACATAAGAAGAGCCCTGCTGGATCAGACCAGTGGTCCATCTAGTCCAGCATCCTGTCTCACACAGGGGCCAACAATGAGATGGTCACAGTCCAGAGAACTTACAATGTATGAATCATGCAACTGTGCTGAAGAAGTATTCACAATTATTTATCTAAAGATGTTCTACAAAACATTAATTTCTGAATATGATTATTACAAGAGATAATACAATAGAAACAGAAGCGAAAAGGCGGGACGGTGGTCTCCGGATTGGTGCTGCCGTTTCGACAATGTGTCTTCTTCGGACCAAAAACTGTGCCAGTCAATGCGAAGTATGGAGTTCCTCAAAGCTTTGACTTCAGCCCTTTTGGGAGAACTGTTTTTTCTAGAATAAGAGACGTTGCTTCTCAAGCTATAAGAAATCTCATGAGTATGCAGCTTTTTGTTGCTTGAGGAATAATCATATTCAGAAATCAATGTTTTGTATAACATCTTTAGATAAATAGTTGTGAATGCTTCTTCATCACAGTTGTAGGATTCACACAGGGGCCAACCAGTTCCTCTGGAGGGCCAAACCAACAGGTCACAGAGGCTGAGTCCTTCCCCTCTGATACTGCCTCCTGGCACTGGTATTCACAGGTTTACTGCATTTGAATGTGGAGGTTCCATTTAGGCACCATGGCTGGTAGCCACTGATAGACCTTCTCCTCCATGTATCTGTCCAACCCCCCTTTTAAAGCGGTCCATGCCTGTGGACATCCCTACATCCTCTGGCAGTGAATTCCACATTTTGTAAGCAGGTGATTTCCTTTTGTCCATTCTGAACCCAGCGTCCATTGACTTTATTGGATGCCCTCGAGTTCTAGTATTCTGGGAGGGGGGGGGAAGTCTCTGTCAGCTCTCCCCACCCCATGCATCATTTCATAAACCAGGGCTATTTTTGACAGTTATTTTTGGGCAGGAACGCAGACTGGAACACTGAGGAATTTGTAAGCTATTTTTACCCAGGGTTGGTATTAAAGTAACCCTTTGGTGGTGGTGGTGGTGGTCAAAAGAGTTGATAGTGAAGGACTTTACACTGTCTCTTATGCCCTTTCTGCACCTGTATTTTGCCTCAGTTTCTGAGCATATCCTATTCTTCCATTCTGCATTCCATCCCGCTTTCACTTCTGGTTTGTGTCGGGGCTTTCTCTTGTTTCTGCTTTTGTTTTACAGGCATCTGCGTTCAGACCGCTTCCAGCTCACTGTTGACCCGTAGCTACCACAACTCCTTTTGCTGCGATTCTTTGTCCTCATCTGCTTTTGAATTGCTAATCCTTTCTAAAGTGGAATTGCTTCTGCGGGTAATTTAAGTGCTGCCCACTGCTTTCCCCCATTTCCGCCTCTCTGTCTTTAGGTTGACGCTTCCTCCTCATTCTATTTTCTTTCCCTCCTTCTCCAAAAACAAAAGAGGACATGTCCTCCCACTCAGGCAAACTTTTAAAAAGCCAGAGAGAGCGTAAGAAGGAATCAGTAAATATAAAGGACTAGGGGATTCCCTGGAGCTGCGGTGGCTCAAGTGGTTAAGACGCTGAACTGCAGGCTGTGGAAGGTCGGTAGTTCAGCAGTTCGAGACCCGGGTGCCGCATGATGGAGTGAGTTCCCGTCTCTCGTTCCAGCTCCTGCCAACCTAGCAGTTCGAAAGCAAGAAATTGCAAGTAGATAAATAGGTCCCACTTCGGTGGGAAGGGAACAGTGTTCCGTGCGCCTTGGTGTTTAATCATGCCGGCCACATGACCACGGAAACGTCTTCGGACAGCGCTGGCTCTTCGGCTTTGAAACGGAGATGAGCACCGCAACCCTAGAGTTGGATTCGACTGGCTTTCGAGCAAGGGAACCTTTACCTTTAAGATGTAAGAATGCAAGACGTAAGAATGGTCTAGGGCAGATCAATGCTTCCTCTAAGCTGTGGAGTCTTGTGAGCAAGACTTTAATTGCATTAAAGCAGTGAGCGAGTGATTTGGCTGCTGCATACATTAGTTTGCTCTGCAGCCATCCCTTCCTGAACGAAGGCAAAAACGTGTGAGCCGGAGGCTAAAAAACTGTCAGCTAGCTCACTCTGACTCAGCTTAGAGGGAACACTGGTCTAGATGTATGCCAGGCCCAACCCTAGTGGCCTCGTTAGAGAAGAAATTCCATACCAAAGTGACTCTATTGCTCACGCGTGCACTTGCACAAAAATGTGCATTCTACGACAGTCACAAAATCTGTCGGTAGGCTCCAAGGAAGTCCCAGTTGCATTCTCCATGGATATTACACTTTGGTACCTTCCTGGAAAACCCTTTCCCTGTGACAGTTTCGTAAGTCATGTTGAGGTAAGCACTCTGTTCTGTTTTATTAGTGTTCCTTACTCATTCTGTGAAACAGTTTGTATACTGACGTCACTTTCAGTTTAGCTACTATAGCTAACTTATACGGGATCTAAGGAAAGGCCTAGAAGAATTTTTAAAAACTTTTATTCTTTCAACAGCTCCTACATCTCATTAGTCTTTGCCATTCCCCTCTATTTTAAAAGTTTTCCGGGGGGGGGGGGGGGGGGAGAGGTAACAGGGCAACGTTGCTGTTTGAAGCAAGAAGTTGCGTGTGATGTACTCATGTACGCTTATATATTATACACCAAGAACATAAGAGACGCCAATGTTGGATCAGGCCAAAGGCCCATCCAGTCCAACACTCTGTGTCACACAGTGGCCAGAAATACCAGGTGCCATCAGGAGGTCCACCAGTGGGGCCAGGACACTAGAAGCCCTCCCACTGTTGCCCCCCCCCAAGCACCAAGAAGACAGAGCATCACTTGCCCCAGAGCCCCTATCTATACCTTGTGGCTAATAACCACTGATGGACCTCTGCTCCATATGCTTATCTAATTCCCTTTTGAAGCCGTCCATGCTTGTAGCACCCACCACTTCCTGTGGCAGTGAATTCCATGTGTTAATCACTCTTTGGGTGAAGAAGTACTTCCTTTTATCCATTCTAACCCGACCGCTCTGCAGTTTCATGGAGTGCCCACGAGTTCTTGTATTGTGAGAAAGGGAGAAAAGTACCTCTTTCTCTACCTGCTCTTTCCCATGCATAATCTTATAAACCTCAATCATGTCTCCCCTCAGTCGTCATTTCTCCAAGCTAAAGAGCCCTAAGCGCTTTAACCTTTCCTCATATATTTATATATTTAGCTTGGAGAAATGACGATTGACGGGTGACATGAAGAACATGTCACTACCCAATGGAGTCTCAGAGCGGCTTACAATCTCCTTTCCCTTCCCCAAAACAGACACCCTGTGGGGTAGGGGGGGCTGAGAGAACTCTTTTGAGAACTGCTTGTGAGAGAACAGCTCTGAAAGAACTTGTGACTGACTCAAGGTCACACCAGCAGCTGCATGTGGAGGAGTGGGGAGTCAAACCTGGTTCTCCCAGATTAGAGTCTGCACTCCTAACTACTACACCAAACTGGCTCTCCTGATAGAGGTTTACAAAATTATGCATGGGATAGAGAAGGTAGAGAAAGAAGTACTTTGCCCCCTTTCTCACAATACAAGAACTTGTGGGCACTCAATGAAATTAAGGAGCAGCAGGCTTAGAACAGATAAAAGTACGTCTTCACCCAAAGAGTAATGAACACGTGGAATTCACTGCCATAGGAGGTGACGGCGGCTACAGGCATAGATAGTTTCAAGAGGGGGCTGGATGCGGCGCGGTCGGAGCCTATGGGACGGAGACCAGCGCTGCAACTGTTGCATAGCCGTGTACCTTGGGAACCAACCCAGAAGGAGTCGCTGTGGGAAGGAAGAGCTTCGCCGAGACCCCATCGCCGACTCCATCGAAATAGAAAGAACCCACCGCGGAATAAGAGCCGAAAGAACAACACAAAAGAAAAAAACTCCGCTGCTTGGGTGCCTAGTAGGTATTCACTTCCTCCCCTTGCACTGTGGCCCTAGCTAGGTTTAAATGTCTCTGTAAACCGCTCCGAGCCTCCGGGAAGGAGTGGTATATAAATGGAATGTGTAATGTAATGTAATAAACATGGAGCAGAGGTCCGTCACTGGCTATTAGCCACAAGATACAGATGGAACACTCTGCCTGGGGCAAGTGATGCTCTGTCTTCTTGGTGCTTGGGGGGGGGGGGCCACCGG